TAATATGTTTTTGCTTGAGGTAAGAAGTGTTGGTCTTCAGCATCAGTAGACATGTAAATGATCTTGTCAGTTTTGATGGGTGACTAGAAAGAAGTCTGAAACCATGTCTCACTTATGAGGGGTAGGAGAACAGGACTGTGGTGTAGAGATTGACCAATAGGAGACCCCAAATTCCAAACACAAGATTAAAAACAGCATGCTCTTGTTTTAGAGGTTCATCCTCAGCCTTCCTCTTTTGTGATCTTACTAAGGATACCCCGTAAGAAAATCAAATTTTGATGAAGTGCCAAATATTATTGTAGAATGAGAAAGTAATTCTACAATGTAACAAAGAAGTTTTGAGAATTTCAAGCTTGGAAGATGGCTAAGTTCATAAAGCATCTACTGTGTAGGAATTAGACTCAGAGTACTGATTTTCATGTGGTGGACCTCCTGGGTGTCAATAATCTCAGAACATTCTGGAAGAAGACAGAGGGAATCTCTTGGGAAAGCTGGTTAGCTAGAGCAGTCAAATCAGCAAGCTCGGGATTCATTGAGAAACCTTGCCTAAGTAAATAAAGTGAAACATGGTCAAAGAAGATGCTCTACATTAACCTCTGACCCCCACACAGGTACAGACACACATACACTTGTACATATATCCTGTGTGAATCTGCCTATACTCATACGAACATGCATGTACACATGTACATGCAACATATACATGTATACACATAAGATTGCCTAGGCTAATGGTTTCATATTAGAGGCCCTGATATCATATTTTCCCTCAGTATCATGAGAGGAGACATATATGATCAAGAAAAAAGCCAGGTACAGAAATGATGGACCCAAGTGTTTTCTTCTGGTAGTGGTGATCACACAAGAATCAGTTGCAAAGATAGACAATAATTTTTTTAAAGAAAAATGAAGGAAATCAGTATCATTTTAACCTATTCCATTTTCCTGAAAGAAGAGTAAGAAATAGTATTTGCTTTTCCAAAGTAAAAGTTTAGTTAGGTTATAGAAGATTTAGACAAAGTGAGAGTGGGAAGTTTTTTGTTTTTTTTTTTCAAAATATAGATGGGCTACTTTTAACCCTAATTATTTATTATACCAGGGTTTCTGGTGTGTCACTATATAGTGTTGCCAATTACCATTAATCTATGCTATGTTCTAATTCAGGGAGTTCTTTTTGATTGGACATTGTGAGACATTTAGCAACATGACTATTGAAATTCCCTTAGTTCCCATCACACTCATATTTCTTTTTCACAATTTTCTTATTTAGGGCAAGAGTCCTGGCTATGTTGCCTTGGATAGAACAAAAAGTTTGGTGCTGGAGAATATTGCTGAATCATAGTTACAGTTTGTGTCTGTGATGTGAGCTAGCTTCATAGTGCTAGATTTAAAACATTATTTTTTAAGATGGGAAGATAGTGTCCTTCCTCAATTCAAGCACTTTCCCCTTAGCAAGCCATTTGAAAAAATATTTATACTATAATTATTGCTTCCTTAAAAGTCTAGCAGTCACAGCAATGTGTAGATATGTCCACATCACCTTTGTTGGACTGATCCTTAAGTGGGACTTCAGTATAAATGCTCTGCTTGAAGCCTACCCTTACATATTTACAACCTCCCATCTTCATGGTTCAGTGCTGAGGAGGAGAACACTCCACGATTCTGATTCATGGGGATTGTGTTTTGCTATAATGCTCAAATAATGATCTGTTTAATTTTTTTTCTTGTAAAAGACTAAAGAAGCCCACTCTCCTAGCAAGGTCATCACTGAACTCAATGCCTTCAGTTTAAAAGCACAGAGATGCCATCTAGCAGCTACTGTCAGGAATTTCCTACTCAGATACGCTGCTCTGTCTATGAATCTGAAAATTAAGTCAATTTGTACAGGTCTCAGTTTTAACAGTTTACTAATTTTGTGGCATATTGCATATAATTTAGGAATTTCATCACAATGGAATTGATTGGCATCTCTTAAAATAGGAATTGTCATAGGTTTATGAGTTTTTTTTCTTTTTCTAAAAAGATCTGGGAGCTTGTTAATTAGACTTTAATTAAGAAAACACAATTCAAATGAATTTACTGAGAAAAAAATCAATATTTCTATATGAAATTACAAATAATTAATTAGAGTTGAATTGCCTTCCTTTGGCAAGGAAATACTAGTCTTTCTAATTTTATAATGTATTAAATGAGAAGGAAGAAATTGAGAATATGCTGAAAGTGGAGTTCATTCTAGGAACATGGATGTTTCAACATTTTAATATTGTAATGAGATTTGTTCCAAGTAATTTACCATAATATGGGGATATCTAGGTACTTTTAAACTATCCTTCAGCCAGGTAAACCCCAATCATGGCAGGGGAGGGGAATCCACAGATGCAAGCATTATATAGTATTTCATAACATGGAATTCGGTAGTAGTGATAGTAAATTATCATCTTTTTAAGAAAATTAAATAAGAAAACAGGGATTTAAAATGGTGGTATCCAGTGTGGGTAGAATCTTATACCTTAAAATATCTTCAAATTTCAAGAGATCTTCCCCTTTGCCATTTTTCTGTATCCGTACATGATTATATTTACAGTAAGTGCATAGTATAAGACGGTAGATCATCAAAGGTAATAAATTGCTTTTTGAAATTTATGTTGCCCTAGTATCTTAACATGTTCACATGTGAGCGGACGCTGGTTAGAGTTTCTATTTCAGTGACGTTTCCTAAGAAATGTTTGTGTGTCCACAGGCTGTCATCTGAAGTACTATATTACTGAAATTTTAATTTTAAGGTCATCAAGTACAACATTTCAAACTTCTGATTTTTAAAAATCTAATCTTTTAACCAGAACAGAACTAAATTAAAGTGGAGAAAATGTTTACTTCATAGGCTGATTGACAATTATTTTGAGAGCACAGGGCTGCCATTTGAAATGTTTTGTTTGATAAAGCTTGGTAAGCAAAAATAGTTTGGTAAACATAAAATTAGGCCCTATTCACTCCCATAAAAGTGATATTTTGTCTACAAATCCAAAACATCTATATATTAAATTACTTAGTATAAAGTTTTTAGTATTCTCTGTTATTTCATGTAAATATAGAGCAAAATGTCATGATGAGGTCTTTGAATGCTATTTTGAAACATCTGGAAACTGAGAATAGTTTGAAAAGTTAATAGACCTCTTTGCTCCCCTGGATTTCTCAACTCAGTGATACCAACCATTCAGAGTTTGTACTGACCTAATTTGAAAGTTTTAAACCATAGAATAATCAGAAATATCAAAAAAAAAAAAACCCCAAAGATCAAATTAATGAAAGCAGGGATGCTTATTTTGGTAATTCATCTCTTTATTTAGCAAAATATTAAGAACTAACTGCCAACAATGATGGTATTTAAACATTAAAGATCCCAGACACATTCAGTCAATCATACAGCCGTCAATAGAATCTGCACTTCCAAATTCTCAAAGAAAGCCATAGCCCACTTTAGGTCCAGGAACTTATTCTGTACTAATTTATTAATTGTGTTTTTGAAAGTATGCTTTTACAAGTCATTCAAAATTATATAGATGAGAAAATGTAGTCACAAGTTTTAGCCAGTATCACTTGAAAGTGGGAATGAAATATGTTACTACGGGTGCAGGAACATAAAGGGAAAAATTTAAAAAAATACCATATAAACAAAGTGGCGACATTTAATCTGGTGTAAAATGCTTCACAACTATACCATAGTAAGCACAATATGCCATTAAGCTTATTAAGATGGCCCTCGTATGTTGTTTGAAGCTTTCAGAATGCCAGTGTCAGGACAACTATAGGTTTAGAATGAAATTGTTTTGTTTTCCTCAGATCTCTCTAAATTTGAAAACGCTACAGTATTATTATATCATTATAATTTTACACCATATACTAGGGTAGGCTTTGAAATATCACAACCACAGTGATAGTTTGTAGTAGGTTACATCTTAATTATGTTCGATTGTTTTCTTCAGTTACACAGACAATGTCAACCCATAAAATAACTTTACAAGATTCAAAACACAGCACTGAATGGCATTTATAATATGGCATCATTTTCCCAATCATGTCACGGTGCTGTCCACCAGCTAAGTAAGGAAAATAATAAATGATTTCCATCCCTTGCTCTCTCAGTTCCCTTACTTAACTCTGGAGAACTATGCATTTCTTAGAGTGTTTGCCTCTCGGAAATGACCACCCTTTATTATCAAGGCTTTCCTCACACATTGCTGGAAATATTTTTCCATCGCTCCCTGCTTTGTACCAGATGAGCCGAACGTTCACTTTCATTGCTGGATAATTTACAGAGTTCCACAGCTATATCGTAACTCATTCTTTCTACTGCCCTCCTTAGTTTAAGAGGCTTCTCACTTCCTGTGTCTTAACACAGAACATCAGAACTTCCTCGGGGTTCCCTAATTTTCTTCAGTAAAAGGAAAGAAACACAAAGTCCCTCTCGCAACGCCTTTTGGCCACGCAGATAGTGCAGCTTTGCTGCTGTCGTGGGTTACAAGCAGCCTCCCCAATGTTTTGGACACAAACCGCAACACGTCTGCGATGGGAGTATTATTGACCAGCATCAGCTGGAAAAAGCTTCCCTGCTTTCAACAAAGAGACCGCGCACCATCTAACACAGGCTTATAAACTGCATTGTTTCTGCTGCAAACTCCCTTGGATGGCCCGTCCTACTTCAGAAGAGAACATTAAGCAGCTGGACAACCAAATTCCCCGGAGAACCGCATTGCCAGCTACCCATATACATTATCTTCGTTCTGGTCCCTCCCCCCTCACACCAGGAGGACTCTACCTTGAAAAGCTAGCCCTCTGGTAGTTCACCTTGTTATCTTCCAAGCAGTGTGGATGCACCAGGCACCACAGGGTAGCTGATAGAACAGTCCCCCGTTCCGTTTTGGACATTTCCCCCCCCCTATCTCGATCAGGTAATTACATTTTGCACATGTATTTCAAACGAGTCAAAATATTGCCCCTACCTTGGAAGGATCTAATCCAGCAAGTAAAGACAGAAGAAGGAGGTTGAGAAGGCTGGACCTCGCCTGCATTGTGATGTGGGTTTTTGCCTCTCTTTACTCTGTTTTATGTAGCCACTCGACTCACTGCGGAGACCTTTCCCACGTCAGTTGCACTTTCTGCCTGCCAGTCAGAGAAGAGTGGAGGCAGAGGCGGCGGCGGCGGCAGCAGTAGCAGCAGCGGCAGCAGCGGCAGCCGCCCTGGGGGGCGATCATTCCGCAGGCGTCTAGGAGTAGGGAGTCCGGGAGCTCAGAAGCTGGGACCTGCTGCGGCGGGCGCTGGCCGAGGTGCTGAAGCGCCTCCACCTGGTGCGCCCTGGTCTACCCTTCTCCCCTTCTGCTAGATATCCAGCCCACCTCAAAAGTTTTGACCCAAGAAGATAAAGGGAGTTACTGCTAAGAGGTGTGGAGACCTGAGCAACGGATATGACATCACTACAGCTCCTGGGGTTTTGTAGGTGGTGGGGGTGTTTTGCGGGAATTTGTTAACCAAAGGACTCTCACGCTCCAGTTCAGCCGTGGCTGGCAACTCGAGCTGCAGATCGAGTCAGCTGTACACAGTATTATGAAACAGGCGCCGCACTGGAACCCTCTGTCATTGACAGAGGACTTGATTTCAAATTGTGCTTTCGACAAAGTTTGTAACTAGACTGCCCATGTCCTTTTTTTTTTTCTTTTTCCCTATTCAAGGTACATGTTTAAAGAATTACAGATTCATTTGGTTATTAAGAGATATATATGTCACAAATACTGAATTGCAAAATATTTTGGGTGAGGCAGTGTGCACTTATTTTGAGGGGAATTCTGTATTGCAGGAATAAATGGAGTGACTTTGTATTTTGTTTTAGTACAGATATACTTCATTAGTCCCCTCAAATGATCTTCCCCTGTATACACATCCATACCCAGAAATATAGTCTCCTTGTCAACTTGACCTGTGTTTGGACCCGAAGAAAAAAAAATTTATGAGGGGTACCCAATAGAATAGCAGAATAAATTGTTTCTAAGCTTTGAATTAATGAAAAGATTTTTGTTTTCCAGAACTGAGTCCTAGGTGGGGGGTCGGGGGAAGTAGTCAGCAAGGAAAAGCAAGGCATCTTCACTAAGCCTGAAACATGACTACACTCATGTTTTATTTCAGACAGTTTTATTTGTCTGAAACTAAAACAATGTAAATGTTCTCAATGAGATGACCAGGTGGAGAGGATTTGGTAGCCACCAGAAAAACCATCTTCATAATCACACCTTCCACAATTCAGTTTTTACTGTTTTATATAAAGTAACACTTCCTAAGAGTTAAGATATGCAAACCAGATCTATGGCTTTGATTATGTGTACATCCACATTAAACAAGACAATTTGGTTGAGGTGTCGGACACATACCGTGTTCAAAATTCGCCTCTATATTTTCACTAAAACTACTCCATTTTTCAGTGTAAAATCAGTTCGGATTCAAATATTTAGAGCTATAGTCATGAAAGTCTCTTATCATACTATCTCTTTTTGTCCAGATACTATTCATGTCTGTATTTGTGTATAACTACTTTGATTCTTTTTTTATTTATAAAATGTAGATGACATAAAGAAAACTACATCTGAAAATTTCTTTGTGAAGGAGGGGATTGTGCATATAAAGAGACTACAGAACAGTAGAAAATGGGTAGAATCACTTAGGGTTTAATTATAACCCAATAATCGCAACCATATTTATAATTTCACATTATTTTTAGTATAAAAATTAAAAATATTTATCTTGAAATTACAGAGTTATGCCCACACCTCTGGGATAACTTTCTAAAGCATATTTATAGCTAGTTTTTTATTTGCATATTTTAAAAACCTATTTCCATTCTATTATTAACATGGTATAATAACATGTTCTTTTTTTTAGTAATTCACATCTAAGAGTTAGAATTTTTATTCTCAGCCATATAAAATCTTTCTGTGAGACTGGAGGGTCAAAAATTAATTTACCAAGTAGTGATGGTTGAAAAACAGAATCTTCGTTGTTTTTATCTAGTCTGTAAATACATGCTATATTGTTTGCAGACTAGATAATAAACAGTAATTGCACTACATGTATTTAGATGTTTTTCATCTTAAAGTATCACAAAACATGTAATTTATATGATGAAAAATATCATTATACATTATACATTTCACGATTAACAGGTGTTCTTGTGGCAATCTTTTTTTTATAGAACTAAAATACTCTGAGCTCAAGGTTCACAGTATCAGTAACCGGAGCAAGAGTTCTGTGTGGACATTTGCCCCTGTAACTTTGCATCCTGTGCATTTTGTAGTACTAGGGTAGCATTTGTAAGACGGGGTTTATAACACTAAGTGTATGAAAGCTTGCCAGAAATAACTGATAGGAAAGGATGATGATATCTAGGGTTCTAAACCAAGCACTACATGATAATTATCTTACAAATGAAAACAGATGATCAGAGCATCTCCACAGCACGCTTCTTTTAAGAGAAACTCAGTCATTTGTAGAGAACAATCAAGTTCAGTAATAAATCAAAGCTGTGCTAAACCTGCCACAGCACAAAAAAAGCTCTAAACAAAGCAGCAGAAATTCACCAAACCCTACCTCCCTCTGGCTCCTTGCTAAAATAAAACAGCACAATTGCTTAATTTTCAAAGTAGACTTCTATAGCTTTTACTTAGTCACTCATTTTGTGGCAGAGCCCTATCACATTTCCACACAATCAGTTTAATGACACTGAGGTCATGCTGTGCAATGTATCTGTATAGGCACGGAGTATTTCTCATGTAAGGGAAAAGGTCCATGAAGCGCTTTGTATTTTGTCTTATCTTAATTTACCCAAAGGGTCTTTCATCTATAGGAAATACTGGTTTCTATTTTATTTTATCTTGTGGTTTCAGATTAGTGACTATTGTCAACTTAGAACATATTATAAAATATTAACATAAATATTAATATTTATAAATCTTGAATTTTCAGTAGAGACATGAAAATATTATATATTTGTAAATACCTCTGAATGTTAGCCTGTTATTCCTACAATAGGCATAATTTATTTTGAAATCTATGCAGCACTACCAAAAATTTATTTAGTAGCGTTAAAAGAGTTAGTTTCAAAAATGAAATTGTATTCACAGGTAATACTAAGAACAATTAAAGGTATTAAAATGTGTGGCCTGATATTACAAAGGAAATTCTTATTTACATAATGCATTTAAATAACTATTTTAAATATTTCATTATTGTTTGGATGAGAAGCTATGGTATACCTCTTCCACAATTTTTATGGTTCCTTAGTATTTTAAATATGTCCTAGTGTGCTAAAAAATTCCCATACTGTTTTTGTTTAATTTCTTACCTAACATTGAGAGATTTCATTATGTTTAAATAAAAGCTAGAATTATCTAAAGGCAGGATAAACCCCTCAACATTTCTTTTTTACAGTCACCAGATAAGTGAAAATTGCTATTGACTTAATTCCTAATGTCCTTGACCTGTAAAGTCCTTCCACACTTTTTCTTGTTTTACTTTCTGATCTTCTAATCTCTCTTTTAGACAGTGGTTTTATTGTTCACTTAACTATTTCTATCTAATCCTCCACCACTCCTAACTGCTCTAAATTAAGACCCTGATAATTATCTGTTAATTTATTACTCTTATGTCTATTTATTTTATACTATTTATTTTTTATATTTTATACTATTTATATATTATAGTTATCCCTATAATAAAATATGTTCTGAGAAGGATCTTTTGAGTTCAAGCACCAGAGCAATGCCTTGCATTTGGTTGCCACTTAATCAATAATGATTTGGTGATTAAATAAATGAATGAGATAATTTTCCAATTACTTAGTATACAGTATTTACATATGCAATGTTTGCTAGATGCCACTGATTAATTTCCTCTAGGCACCTCAAACTCAGTATTTTTTTTTTTTTTTTTTTTTATTATTTAAACTGCTTGGCCATTAGCTCAGGCCTATCATTGTCTAGCTCTCACTCTTATATTCAGCCCATTTCTATTAATCTTTACTTTGCCACGTGGCTTGTGGCTTACCGGTACTTTACATCTTCCTTGTCCTGGCGGTGGCTCCAGCCGGTCTCCCTTTCCTTCCTCCTTCCTCAATTCTCCTCTCTCCTTGTCCCGCCTATACTTCCTGCCTGATCACTGGCCCATCAGTGCTTTATTTATATAAAGCAATATCCACAGCAGCTTATTATTACTTATGAATGCCCAGCCATAAAGAGCTGGCCTATAGCAAGGCAGGAGAAAGGATAGGTGTGGCTGGCAGGCAGAGAGAATATATAAAAGGAGAACACTAGGAGAAAGAAGGAAGATCTAGGAGCCAGAAAAGGAGGAAGACTCCAGGGGCTAGCCACCCAGCTACACAGCAAGCCACAGAGTAAGAGTAAGATTTACAGAAGTAAGAGAATGGTAAAAGCCCGGAGGCAAAAGGTAGATGGGATAATTTATGAAAAGCTGGCTAGAAACCAAACTCAGTATTTTAAGCCAGCATTTTATCTCTAGTGTATGAACTTGAGACATGATTTTTCCCTACCACAAAGAGGCCTGGAAGTCACAGAAAGATAGAAGTGACATAGCAAGTCAACAACATCAAATTAAAAAGAAAATACATATTTAGTCATTTTGTTGTTGAATTGTTGTTTATATATAATCTAGTAGTTAATCTCTATGAACATTTCTTTTCAATAAGAATTAAAATAGTGCCTTTCAAATATAAAAAAAAATAACGTGAAGTAGAGGTTAGTTGTTAGTGAGAAAATCAAGGTCAAATTATTCTAAGGGCTGGGCATATGGCCCAGTGATAGAGCCTTCTCAGGATATTCAGGGCTCCAGGATTGGTTCTCAACACCATTAAAGATAAAAACAGATTATCCAAAAAATGTAAGTTGTTAATGTATTATTCTTACATGCTAATTTAATGAAGTATAATCATACTGGTATCAAGTATCCAAATTTTATCCAGTCTGTTACTAAATGCATTAATTTTCTTTCCTTTTTTTTTACTGTGTGTGTGTGTGTGTGTGTGTGTGTGTGTGTGTGTGTGTGTGTTTTATACTGTGTTTGTATGAGTTTGGATGTATTTGTGGAGGTCAGAGCGCAACTCTCTGAAGCCAGTTTTCTCTTCTAACATGGGAACTTCTGCTTGGATTCAGGTAACCAGGTTTCTATAAGTAGGACTTTTGCACTCCGAGCCATTTCACCAGACTCAAGGCATTTATTCTTCATAATGCCCTCTTCTAAACCATACATACAATTTCCTATAATGGAGAGCTTAAATTATTCACGTTAAGGTCCTTCAATTCCTTTTTTAAGAAATTGGCATATTGTATATGCTAGCAAATCATAAGCACATTGCCATGCTGCTGTTAATACAAAATATGCTTTGAACACACGTCCCAAAATTTC